TGGCGGTTCAAACCCATCAGCCACTCCTCGGAAGGAAGGTTGGGCAATCTACTTCCATAGTGATACCACCTCAGAAACCCAAGGAAGGGTTGTTATGAGTTGGATCTGACTCAATGGCAGTGAGTTTGATTTTGTTTGTTGTGTCTTTATGGTAGCAGGATAGCCATTAGTAGCTCCAGACATACATTTAAAAACTGATTAACTCCTAGGATTTCTAGCAAAAGTCCCAGGGTTGAGTCTCATTGTCTTAGCTTGGGTCACATGCTCATCCAGAAACCAAATACAGAGGCTGGGGGTAGAATGAATCATGCACTGGGCAAGGCCAATCACATCCAAACCACATAGACTGATGGTAGATGATGGCTTGTTTTACCAAAGGAAAGCAGGAGTGCTGTGAGCCAAAAACAGGAGAGTAGATGCATGGCAGGAAGCAAAGTTAAATGTCCCATAAAGAGGCCTCATGGCTCATCCAGTTCAAACTCTCTGTTTTGCAAAAAAGAAAATGAGATTCCGAGTCATTACATGGGTTCCAGAACCAATGAATTAAGTCAGTTTGTGTGGAAATGCATAGTACAATTCTGGGCACACAACAGGAGCTCAGTTAAAATGCTACTTTTCTTCCTCTGCAATGCATGTCTGTTAGGACTCTCATTTCTGTACTCTCCTTTCGCACTGCTGATGCCCTCCCTGAGCCCTTTGACCCTAGCCTATTGCAGGAGCTTCTAGTTTTCAGCTGCCGGTGGTCTAGCAAGGAGGAGCATTCGGGCCTCAGAGCTCCCAGCCTAGTGTTGTGTCCCCTACTCATCATACAGCCCTTGGAGATCAAAACCAATTCAGTGTACTCTGTTCAGGATGCAGGAAAGTGCAGGACAGGTTTCCTTGTTTAGGGAGTGGAAGAAAGGGGAAGACCTGCTACGTGTCAGGCACTGTGCTGATTTGTAGATACATCTCACTGCCACCAATGACAGGGTCGATGTGATTGCCTGCATTTTACAGAAGAGAAAGATGTTGAGTAACTTACTCAGATCACACACTCACTGTGTAATTACTCATGTGGAGCGCCCCATTTCTCAATAGTGTTGAGAATATGAGGTCAAGTGCAGAGACGCAGGTGGGTGAAGGGTAAAAGCTGACCTCATGGTTCACTAAATTCATTTGAGAAATAAAGAAGTAAACACAAGGGTGACAAATGAAGGGAAAGCAAGTGGACAAAACTTTAAACAAACAAACAAACAAAAGGCAGGTTTAAGATTCTTTTGGAAAAATGTCACTGATTTTCGAAGGGAAAGACTCCACGCCGGCTACTTTTCTCTCCACTAATCCCCCAGCCTGTAAATAAATTCCGTCTCTCCAACAGTTTAAATCCATCTCTTTTCATTTCTGTCTGTCTAGCTAGAGGGAGAGGCAGCATGGTGTGGTAATTGGGAAGCTGGATTCTGAAGCAACACCATCAGAGTTCAAATCTCATTTTCACCACTGGTTATTCATGTTGTCTTAGGCAAGTCACTTGATCTCTCTCGAATTTGAGTTTTCTCTCCTGTAAAACATGGGCATAACTTCCTGATGCAGTTGTGATCAGCAGAGTCAATGTAAGGGCTCAGATCAGACCCTGGAACCTAGAAAGCCCATGAGAAGACCAGCTAGTGCACCCCTGCTAGGATGCAAGCCCTGCAAAGGCAGAGGTCTCTGCATTTTCTGAATTTTGCTTCTAGTGCCTAGAACAGAACCTAATAGGCACATAATCAATAGTTGTTGTAAGAATGAATGAAGGTAGATACAATGGACACTGAGCAGTCTGTAATGAAGAAAAGGAACCTTGTTTCAGCAAGTTTCTAGAGTTTTTGTTTATTGGATGTTTGAAGCAATAACTGCACTGGTGCAGATAGAAGGGCAGGGAGTGAGGCGGAAGAAGGGGGTGTAGAGCTTTTCTTACACTCTTGTCTATCAGGAGAGCTCTAAGTTGGCTGTACTTGTTATTCCTTATATTTGCAGGTACCACTTGGATCTGAGGGTAGAATGACTTTCTGGGGTCCTTGGGCTTTGATGGTATGGAAATTACCAACTGCCAAAAAGATATTTGCATGGCACCTTGATGCATTTGGAGTTTCCATTTTGTTCCTACACTCTGGGATTGGTTAATAGTGTGTTGTCATCAAAATTGCTAAAGCTATTGCTAAATGTTCTTTCCAGGCTCAGGCTACATGAAGAAAAGGTGATTAAAGATAGACGACATCATCTCAAAACCTACCCAAACTGCTTTGTCGCGAAAGAACTGATTGACTGGCTGATTGAACACAAAGAGGCTTCCGACAGAGAGACGGCAATTAAGCTCATGCAGAAATTAGCAGACCGGGGAATTATTCATCACGGTGAGTGGGGTGGCCACAGCCAAGGTGACTTGAGGGAAAATGAAAAGACTACATACATATTCTATTTCTGGCCTGAATATACCCATTTAAGAAATAGAACATTTTACTTTGTCTCCCTCATACCTCAACCTAATCGAATTCCTTTTTTTTTTTCTTCCAAGAGTTGTGTTTATATTTGTGTACCTCTTCCTACTTGTACCCTCTGTGTATGCACCTCTAAGCAATGTATCGTATTGCTTAACATGTTTTGTAGAGATGCATGTCTTTTCTTTTGCTACTTGATCAACATGCTACTTGTGAGAGCCCTCCATGTTGGTAGTATCTCTAGTTCATTTTCATCCATAATATCCCATGCATGAGCATGCCGTCACACATTTATCCATTCTAATGGATACATTTACCCATTATCCAAATGGATGGACATTTAGGTGGTTTCAAAGTTTTTGCTGTTACTTGGCAATGGTTCGGTGAACATTCCTGAACATGTCTCCTTGAAATCTCAAACCCTGGCCTGGGCCTTTCCATCTGCTCTTGTTCCCTTGAGCTGGAATGCCCTTTCTTTCCATGTTTTCGTAACTGGTACTCATCCTTCAGGTGTCCGTTTATATGCAGACTCTTCCCAGAAGCTCTGATCCCTAAAGCTGGGTTAGATACTCCTCTTTGTGTGTCCACTGCAGACTCTCCTGCCCTCTTATCACCCCATATTGTAAGTGCGTGTTGACATTTCTCTTTATATCCAAAAAACAAAACAAAACAAAAACAAATTCACTGCCATTGAGTTGGATCCTTCTCATAGTGACCCCCCCTTGGGTTTCTGAGGTGGTACCACTACAGAAGTAGATTGCCCAACTTTCCTTCCAAGGAGTGGCTGGTGGGTTTGAACCGCCAGCCTTCTGGATACCAGTCAAATGCCTTGGGCACTACACCACCAGAGCTCCTCTCTTTATATCACTAGACCATAAATAGTGGAATGAATGATAAGTTGACTTTTGTGACCCTGTTAATAGATAATATTGATGATGACAGTTAACTAGTTAACAATACTGAGCCCTAACTCTGTGCCAGGTACTTTACTAAATACTTTATACATATTAACTCATATAGTAGGTATTTATGTGCTTGAAAAGTTAGGTAGTAAAGTGATTCTTCTTAGTTTAACACGTTGTGTCACTCGAGTAATTACATGAGTGATTCTCCCCTCATTTATTGCTGTGTATGTTGTGTTTCAGTGTGTGATGAGCACAAGGAATTCAAGGATGTCAAGCTCTTCTACCGCTTTCGAAAGGATGATGGCACCTTCCCATTGGACAACGAAGTGAAGGCCTTCATGAGAGGGCAGAGGCTATATGAGAAGTATGTCCCCCATGAAATCCCCACTGTGATCTTGACCTGTAGAGAGAAGCAGGGCTATTTCAATCTTCGGTCATGTTGATTTTAGCCTGCCTGTTCCATGTGGACTGATTACATAATTGTTCCTTTTAATATGAGACAACTCTGTCTGTCATTTGCTTTTCTCTTTGCCAGAAATTAAGTTGATTTTCAAAGATTCTTAATAAAGAATCTATTTAAATAGCATTTTCTATATTTAAGCTGATTTAACAAAACTCCAGAAGTAAAAACAAAGATGGAGCTTAATATTTCCCATCAAGTGATGTGGATGCCTTTTGCCTCTTTAAATTCTGTTGTATAAGTTGGAGGTTTGATCTTGTCAATGGCTAGAGAAACAGTGTCAAGTACAGGGGAAGTTCAGGGTCAGGTCGAGGGATGAGTAGTGGGAGAACTTCAGATAGCAGGATGTCTAAGAGGAATAACGTTGCAGCCCTTTTAAAGAGGTGAATACCAGGAGTATTTGATTGGTGGATCTGGAACGCCTGTTTTGTCCGTCTCTGAACTGATCTGCTCTTCTGTGGTCCCTTTCCTTTCCTACTTTCTTGTTTTTTTCCTAGGATACCCATAAGAGAAGAGAGTGCAGGAGCCATTGTACCCCTTCCTTAACTATGACTGCTTTTCAAACTTGAGGGAGCTGAAAAAATACCTGTAATTCACACATAAGAATCTACTCTATGATGGGAGTGGGTGGGAGCAGGAGGTCAGATGGCTAAGAGCCCAGGCTTTGGAGCCACACAGGGTTTGAATTCTAACTCTGGCACTTTACCTTTGTAAACCACTGTTCTCACCTGTGAAATGGGATTACTAAGAGCATCTGCCTTCTAGTGCTGCTGTGGGAATTCAAAGAATAAACTGTGTCAGGTATATAAGTATTTAGCTCTGTATCTGTGGGATGGCTATTCCAGATATGAACACGATACTGATGACCTCCTTCAATTCCGTCCTTCTTGTTTTCTGTGCTCTGTCTGTCCCAGTTCTGTTCTTTTGTGTTTCTGGAGCTGATATTGTCTCACCACTTGGCATCCTAGTATGTGCTGGTTCTCCTGTCCCTTGGTTTCTATACTGAAGTATGGAAAATCCCTCATTCCCTTGACTCAAATGAATTTGATGGAAGGACTCCATAAACATAGCCATTTGCAGACGTGAGTGTGTGTAGGTGTGTTTTGTTGCTGTTTCCTTTAGCTTTCTTTATTCCTTTTGTAAAATTTTGGTGGTTGTTGTTGTTATGTGCTGTCGAGTCGGACCCGACTCATAGCGACCCCTCCTTGGGTTTCCGAGGTGGTATCACTACAGAAGTAGATTGCCCCATCTTCCTTCCGAGGAGTGGCTGGTGAGTTTAAACCGCCAGTCTTCTGGTTAGCATTCAAGTGCCTTAGGCACTATGCTACCAGAGCTTCCCAAATTTTGGTAGGTGTTAGGTATTTAAATTACTATTATGGTCTCTTCAGACTGTAAGATTCTATGTTGTTCAAAAACATATAGACCATTGCCTATGAAGGAAGCCAAGAGATTGTGTAATGAGCCTCTCTCTCAGGCTACATCTTATGTCTTAGAATCTAGATAACCGCACTGTGGAACAAGGATTAGCAATGGTTGACAATGTCAGTGAAAGAACTGTTACTGCTAATGGATGGATATGATGGCAAGATAAAAATAAGAACAATTAAAGGAAGTTGTTTATACCTTCCAGCCCCTCTTCTGTTCTTCCCACTCACATCCTGCATGCCAGTCACATGGAACTGTGTGTCTCTGGACCGTCCCAGACCCCTCTCTGCCATCATCCCATTCATTCATTCATTCAGTAACCCAACACATACTGAGTTCTTACCATGTGCCAGGCATCGTCCTAGGCCCTGGGAACTCACCGTGAACTAAAGACAGACAAAGCCTCTGCTTTCTTAGAGCTTGCATTCTAGTTGAGGAGGCAGACAGTAAGGACAAAGACACATGGTGATGTAATGTAATGTAACACAGGAGGTTACTAGTGCTAGACAGAAAAAGAGTTGCTGAGGGTGGTGAGCTTTTTTAGATAAGGGAGGCCATAGCAGATAGACCCAAAGTGCTATTTGAACAGAGACCTGAATAGAGTAAACCTTGCCAGCGTCTAGGGAGGAATATCCCAGGAAGAGGGAACAGCAAGAGTGAAGGCTCTGAGGCAGGAATGTGTGTCGCATATTTGAGGACAGCAGGGAGGCCAGAGTGTCTGGGGAGCAGGAAGTAAAGGGGAGAGTAGCAGGAGGCGGGTCAGAGCCAGATCATAGAAGGTCATTATGTCTGGGCTGAGACTGAGGATCTCATGTTAATGCAATGGTAGCCACTGGAGAGGAAAATAGGGAAGTGACAATCTGACGTACGTTTTACATATACCCAATGCATCTTCCCTTTGCCTAGAAGGCTCTTCATGCTACTCTTAACACCTTTCCCCAGCTGTCTTAGTTATTGAGTCTGCTATAACAGAAATACCACAAATGGGTGGATTTAAGAAACAGGAATTTATTTTCTCACAGTTCAGGAGGCCAGCTGAAGACTTTCTCTCTCTGTTGGCTCTGGCAGAAGGTCCTTGTCTCTTTGAGCTTCTGCTCCTGGGAGATCTTCATCTGGCTTGGCCTCTCTCTTCCCCTGTCTTTGCTCTGCTGACTTGCTCAATCTCTTCTATATCTCAAAAGAGATTGATTCAAGATACACTCTATACTAACTCTGCCTCATTAGTGTAACAAAAACACCCCATTCCCAAATGTGGGAAAAATCCACAGGTAGAGAGGTTAGGATTTACAACACAAATTTTTTGGAGGTATAATTCAATCTATAGTACTGGTTCACTCTGACTCCCAGCTTCACATTGAATGTGACCTTCTCTGGGAATCCTCCTCTACTCCTTAATATGGAGTTAGATGACACTGTTGTGTGTTTACCCCACCAGTGACTTGTATTAAAATTTCTTCTTTGACTATTTTTTGCATTAAACTCTAAGCAATTTATGGGTAAAAACAAGACAAAAAAGCCAAACCAATTGCCATTGAGTCAACTCTGACTCGTGGCAACCTCATGTGTGTCACATGAGAACTGTGCTCCATAGAGTTGTCAGTGGCTCATCTTTTTTTGAGAGAATCACCAGCCTTTTCTTCTGAAGCAGCTCTGAGTGGACTTGAACCTCCAACCTTTTGATTAGCAGCTGAGCACAGTTAACCATTGGTACCACTCAGGGACAAGTTAAGAGTGGGGCTGCCATATTTTCCTATGGCTTAATGTATCTCTCACAGTTTAATGCATGCCTGGCACATCACAGGTGGTAAATATTTGCTGTAAAGATTAAACTTTTCCATCCCAGAATGAGTTAATCAGTATTGCTGTACTTTTTTTCTATGTGCAGTTGACTTTCCAATCATTAATGGTCAATGGTGTCTCAATTTCCAAGTAAATTTGTTTCTTCAAACTGCTTATGAAATTAGCACTGGGGAAAAGGTATTAAGTCCTTAACCTTGGATGACCTAACTGCCATCTCACAAACCTTGGCCCCAGAGTTAGATTGCTAGGCCATGTGTAGAACAAGCTTTGGGGCCTTTGAAACTGACATTTCAATTTAACCCTTTGGTCATTTATGTCTAGTGTATCTGCTTAATTATTTTTTCGTTAATCTAGCATGTACTAATATTTTGTATGTTTTGTACTTTTTTATGATATGAAGATGTAAAGAATTTTCATAATTCATCTTTTCAAGTATTCACCTTTTCAAATATTTTATTAGTTTTAATGTTGAAGTTTTATTTTTCCTACATCCTTTTACCCAGAACCTTTGTTTTTGTATATTTCTAATATGTAGGGGAAAAAAAAAGGTCATCCAAAATGTATGCTCTTTTGTTGTTTCATTTTAAGATAATAATGACAGATAGTATTAGTTGATTGCTGACTATGTGTCAGTTATCTTGACTAATATATTTTATTCCAACATCATGTTGTTGTTGTTATGTGCCGTCGAGTCGGCTCCAACATCATAACAACCCTTATTTAGATCCTATTATTGGCCCCAATTTAGGATGAGGAAAATGTGGCAGAGAGGTTAAATCTCTTGTCCAAGGTCACCTCAAGTCCTAAGTAACCTTGTGGGGTTTTGAACCCAGGAAGCCAAAGCCCAAACTTGTCACCACTAGGCTTTTAGTAAATTCTTTCCAGTTCCTTTCTGGGAGATGAAATGAGTGAAATCAATCTTTACTTAAAAATGTCATTTACTTTAAAATGTAACATGGAGTGTATAAAGTATCAGGGTATGGAGTTTACTGAAAATAATGCAGGATTTTAATGTAGACATTGGAAAATGAGAGTCAAATGTCTCTCCCTTACGGTGAAGCTACATGATATTCTGCAGATATGACGAAAACAACAAAGCCTTTTGTTTCTGAGTTACGCTTGTCGAAGCTCTCTGCCAGATGATCTTCATCTGCACCTACTGACCAAAGAGATGGGACATAAGTTATCACCCTACTTTTAGAAGGAGTATCTGGGACCCAAAGCAGTTAAGTGATTTATGCCTGGTGGTGACACAGCTTAAGAAGGACGGAGGTGAGGCCTGAGCCCAGGTGCCAGATGTTGAGGCTGCTGTTCTCCCCACAAGCTCCCGCCGAGTCTGGGGGTGGGCCCTATTGCCAGCATTTCCTTTGGTCTTTTCACTTACTTGCGTGTTCCACGTTATTAATAGAAGTTTGTGAAACTTTGTGGTTTCTGGCTGGGCTTTTGCTGAACCAGCTGAGTTTTGGGGTACCTGACCTTCTAACTCCTGTAGGTATTTCTTAATTTGCTGTTTTGTAAGGCTGTCTCCAAACTACGATTTAAATGACTCTGCAGTCTCTCAGTATCTACGTCACTCCAGTTACCTCAACTCAGAGATACTCAAATGAATTAAATAATTTTAATATTGAAGTTTTTTTTTTTTTTTTCTCTCTACACCCTTTTACCCAGAGCTGGCCCTT